GTTTTTGAAAAGTGTTACTTTTGAATATTTGACAAAAGTGTTGACTTTCGCCGCCGGATTAGATAGCAGTTATCGTCAGAAGTTGACGCGTAAATCAACAAGATTTGGGACACACGAGAGGAATAGGTGCCACCTTTTCGGCATCTTCAGCTGATTAGCAAGGATATGATTAGATGTGGCCGTGGCAGCGCAGTTAAAGCTTTGTTTCGACGTTGAAGGAGGGGGGGGTATAAACGGTCTGCAAAAAGACGTTACCTCCTGAATCTTTGCACGTGATTTTATTTGATCCACCATGACGGTCATCCAGTCAGTTATTTGTTTGCTTCGATTGACCATCCGATTTTTATAAGCTACTTTATATCCTCTTCTGTAAAGCTCATTATTGTCGGCACCCTGCTATAGTGGACAGTAACCTAGGCGATGAACAGGGGACAGCGGTTAGCAAAATGCACGAAACGACGAGTCGACAAATGTCGGAACGACGGACGACGATGTAGCTTACATGGTCATCGAACGCTAAGCAGAATGAAAGTTTTTTGCTAAATTGAACGATCGCTTGGGTTGTTTATTGTGATGATTAATGCGCGCGCGTCAAAATTGGGGGGGGGGGCAAACGCTGGAGAATTTCCATGTGTTCATAATGGTTATCCTTCGATCACCGGTTATCTGCAATTCACTGGCAGCACTAAGGCAATGCTTCTTAGATCGGTCGTTATAGTTTGGGCTTTTGCGACACATTCGACTGGGTAGCAGAGGATAGTCTCTTTTGTTAACGGAATTTAAATTTTATTTTCTGAACAAAAGAGGAAAAACGTATCGGAAGAAAGGTACTACCCCCAATGGCAGCTCAGTTATATTCTTACCTTTTGCACTTACTCTTTATCGAGTGTTCTTCCTGGTCCTCCTTATTCAAGACTGGGTCTTTCAGTACTTATCCTGAAAGTCGGTAACAACTGTTTTTGCTTATTAGATAAACTGGCTTGGTAGATACCATTTGTCAGGTAGCGTCGGGCTACAGTCTGTACCGTGCTGCGGTTTGGTACCTCCCTGCTGACAGCGGACGAGGGCCATCCTTTTCATGTGAGGCTCAAGAGAGTTTGACTCGATGGATTCGTGTTGCAGGAATAAAGTCACCGCCCTTCCGGTGCTGCCTAAAGTGTATCGCGCAGATTAGTACTTTCTTGTCTAGAATGCTAAAGTATACGTATAATCATCATCATCATTTTCCATCGCCGCTTCTCCTTTGGGGTCGCGGAGGTAA